TGCTGCTTCTCTGCCCAGATCACCGGTGCAGGGAGAGGCTGGCAGGGGGTGTTGGCTGATGCCTACTGCCCTTTGGCTTTTTGGAAAAGGAACGCAGACTGGGTGGTCAGCAGGGGCCTCTGGGTAAGCAGTGTCTCCTAGAAAATTGCAGTTTCAGGGATTTGGGCTTTTGGAATGAGTCACTTTCTGCAGGTGCTCATTACTGAGCATATCCATTCTGGCCACATCGGGGGCACTGAGCACAGGTGTGTTGTGTTTGGGGATGGGGTAGGAGGCTGCAGCTCAATGCTTCTCTTTCTATAAGCTCCTTGAGGTCAAGATCTGTGGTCTTTTTGTCATTGCATCCCAAATTATGGTATGTTGTTGTTAAGTGCCATCAAATTGGTTCCCAACCCTTAGCAACCCTGTATAGGGTTTCCAAGGAGCAGCTGGTGAGCTTGAACTGTTGACCTTGTGGTTCGAACCAACTTTGCAGTCCAACACATTAACCCACAGTACCACACCAGGACTCCAAAAATCATAGTGCTTGGGATACAGTAGGTGATCAATACATATGAAAGAGCTTTAAAAAGTTCATGGGAAAATTTCATTATCTTATAATTTCATTTTTCCATGAACTTTTTGAAGTCCCCTCAGTTTTTTTTAAAGCTATTTTATTGAATTTTTGGTGAAAATTTACATAGCAAATTAGGCTACCATTTGACAATTTCCATGCAAACTGTTGAGTGACATTTGGTCCATTTATATTAATATGTCAGTATTCTCTTTGTGCTCTGTTTATTTCCTTTCCATTACTCCAGTTTCCCTGCCCCCTTATCTTCCTATCACTGCTTTTAAGAAATTCTTGTAGGGTACTGGTCTTACAGTTAATAACCTGTATTTTATGTGCCACTCTCCTGTTTCACTGAAAGGTGACCCATGAGGATAGGATCCATTCTGGGCTTAAATATTGTCTCAGTGTGGTAGTCTCAGAGTCTTTTAGCTCTCTACTGTTCTACTTTATTTATTTTGCATTTCTGATAACTTTATTTCTGAATCATCAGGGGAGCAACAAGTAAAGTACTCAGTCACTAGTTAAGGCGATGTATGATCCAAATGTCTGTTTTATCTCACCTTTTCCCCCAACAAAAGGCAAAGACCATGTGAACACATCCATAAAGTTTGGGAGCCAGTAAGGGTATGGAGAACAATATTCATGACATTGTTTTTGAATTTCAGCAGAGCAACTCCCAGATCCTCTGTTCTTATAATTTTATTCTGTTCTTGACTTTTTCATTTGTCAATTGAGTTCAGGGTGATGCTGCCACGTACGTCATTCTCTGGTTGCTGTCTGTTCTTGTTGTTTCACTCTCAGTTCACAGAATTTCCTTTAGGATTTTTTTAATAGCTGGGTTGGCTTTGGCAAATCCCTTAGCTTCTGCTTACCCTGGAATGCTTTGATTACACCATCGTATTTGATTGACAGCTTTGTTGGGTAGAGGATTCTTGTTTGGCAGTTTTTTCTTTCAGAGTTTTATATATGTCTTCCCATTGCCTTCTTGCCTGCATGGTTTCTGTTGAGAGATCCGAGCTTAATCTAATTTGCTTGCCTTTATATGTTACACTTCTCTTTTCCCTAGTTGCTTTCAGAATTCTGTCCTTATTTTTTATTTTGGAGAGTTTGATTATTATATGTCTTGGTGATTTTCTTTTGGGGTCTATCCTTCCTGGGGTTCTTTGAGCTTCTTGAATGCTAATCTTTTCACTTTTCAGGATGTTAGGAAAATTTTCTTCCAGAAGTTCTTCAATTATCTTCTCTATGGACTTGTGTGACTCTTTCCGTTCTGGAATGTTGATAATTCTTAAGTTATTCCTCTTCATGTTGTCCAACATGAATCTTAGGCCTTCTTCAGATTTTTTTATCCTTTTTTTGTGTTTGCTCTTCTATCTTAGTAGTGTTGAGAGATTTATCATCTAGCTCATTAGTTCTGGCTTCTAATTCTCCGATTCTACTCCTTTGCCCTTTCAGTGTATTGTCCATTTCTGATATTCTATTATTAATCATTTGGACTGCTTTCTGTAGGTTTTGAATTGTTTCCAATGCTGTATCTATTTTATTTGATTGTTCCTGTAGCACTTTCCTGATTTCTTCCTTATTTTTCTCAACACCATTGTATAGTGTTTTGATACATTTTATAATCATTTTTCTGAATTCCTTCTCAGCCATTTCCAAAGCCTGCCCATCTTCCAGTATGGAGTGTAGGTCTACTTCTAGCTCATTTGCCTCAGTCACTTTATCTCATTTCTGGACACGTTCTGATATGGTCATCTGTTTCTGTTTTTTTAGGCATATTGAGGAGTTATCTGTGGCCTTAATACTTAAATGGGTGTGTATTTTGGTATTTTTTATGTTTTCTCATTGCCTCCAGGTAGATGTGATCAGAAGATGGGATTCCCTTTTCACTCTTCTTCCTGAGAAATTTCAAGATTCCACTGTTGGTCATTGTGATGTAACTCAGGATTTATTTTTTGGCCTATTTCCATTTTAGTCTGCCTGTCCCACTCTACAATCCCTGTTCAGGCCTTTTTCCTAGTGATAGACAGTTCTGGGCCAGCTGTGGCCATTTTGCACTGTTGTTTGGTTTTAAGTGGAAACTGTCACTTTAAATTTTGAGGAGATCTGTGCATGTGCGGAGTAGAACCCTTTGGGGGTCAGGGTGGGATGTCCACTTGCTCAGAAAACCCCTGTAGTCACCAGAATGGAGGTGCACAGACAGTGATCAATTAACAGATCCAAAAAAAGAGTATCCACACCTTTATCGCCACAGTTCTGTCAGGTGTCCGTGGCTGCTCTGATCCTTCCCCTGCTTGGTTTCTCCCAAGATGGTGGCTCTGGGAGCAGCTGAGCATCTTGAATTAGAAAGTACTGTATTTCTTGCTTCTGCTACCAATTCCCACAGCTGTAAGCCTTCCAACCTTCTAAATATTCCTTTATGTTTGGCTCAGAGTTCTAGGACCATCCCCTGAGCCTGCTTGGTCTGGTATTCTGTGTTGTTTCTGATGGAGCTCCTCACTGCAGTTCCACCTGATCTGCCATCATTTTTGTCCACCCCCTCATAGTTTTAAAAGGTAAATAAAAGAAAACAAATTAGGGAGGCATGGTTTCTAGAAAGAGCACTGAACTTAGAGTCAGAGATTTAGTTTGGCCCTTAGTTCTGTTGCTCAATAGTTGCATAAGCAAACTGCCCAACCTTGCTGAGTCTTAGTTTCCTCATCTGTAAAATGGGGACTTATTTCTCCTTTAGGGCTGCTGTGGGTTTGAAACGATACAATGAGTGACATGTCTCTTGTCTCATGGCTGGTCTTAGGGACTGCTTGCTATTTATTGGAGAGTCCTGGGAGCTGGTCATATGCTTTAATAATATCGAACAGGCTTGAAAAACTTGAGTGAAGTACAGGAACATGAAGGGTAAGGCAGTGAGCAGAATGGTCCACTTGAGTGGGGCTCCACCTCTGACATCAATCAATCATGCTACTTCAAACATGTCACAGAACATTCCAGTGTCTTACTTTTCTCTTTTGCAAAATGGTAGGTGGGTGGCTAATGGGGAATTATTCTAGATCAGCAGTTCTCAACTTTCCTCTTTGGTCATGATCACAGGACAGATGACATTCAAATGTGTAACATATTCTTGATAGTATACACAGATTGTGAGAAATACTAAAGGGGAACTCAATACTATGGGGAACTAAAGCATTAAGCATTTTGAAATCACTATGATATTAGTAGTTCAGTGGAAGTAGTTTTTTACTATGGGCCTAGGAACGAAGAAAATGGACTTTGAGTTGTGTAATTTCTTTGCACATGCTAGAAGTCTATATGAGGGGGTCTTCAAACTGTTCTCGGAGAAATGGAATGAAAAGACAATTGAATTTTTTCATAAACTTTTTGAAGATCGATCATACTATCTCTATCGTACAAGGTAGTATATCAGAATATGAATGAGGAAGCTAATTTTTAGGGATAAGCATAATTCTGCCTTTTAAAATAAAAAAAATTTATGCTTCTCAGTCTTGGATTCTTGGTTAGTAGGAACATATTTCTTGTTATATCAGTTATAAATGATCACAACATACTCATTTGTTGTGATATCAAAGCTGTGAATTGATGGATCTTATAGTTTCAAGAAGCATCATACATTCGTTCTGTTGATGTCACATGTATCTAGAACTTGAATCTAAGATGTTGATAGGTACTGTCTGACTCATAGTGACCCTGTGCACAATCAAATGAAACACTGCCCAGTCCTGCACCATCTTCACAATTGTTGTTAAGTTTGAGCCCATTGCTGCTGCCACTGTGTCAATCTATCTCACTGGGGTCTTCTCTTTTTTACCAGCCCTCCTCTTTGCCAAGCATTATGTCATTCTCAAGGGACTAGGCCCTCCTGACAACATGTCCAAAGTGCAAGAGATGAGTCTCACTATCCTGCCTTCTAAAAAGCATTCATTCTGGCTATACTTCTTCCAACACAGATTTGCTCATTCTGGCAATCCATGGTACTTTTAATATTCTCCATAATTCAAATGCATTGATTTTTCTACAGCCTTCCCTATTCATTGTCCAATTTTCACATGCATATAAGATGATTGAAAATACCATGGCTTGGGTCAGGTGCACATTAGTCCTCAAAATGACATCCTTGGTCTTGAACACTTTAAAGAGGCCTTCTAAGATAGGAGTCCTGGTGTGACTCTGTGGGTTAATGTGCTAGACTGCAAGGTCACTTTGAATTGCAAAATCGGTGGTTCAAGCTCACCAGCTGCTCCTCGGAAATGCTATACAGGGTTGCTATGCGTTGGAACTGATGCAACGGCCCTTAACAACAACAACAACAACATGATAAAGAAATTTAATTCAATAGCTGCCTATTATAATGAAGTGGAGTTGGTGTAGAGCAGTGTAGGGAAGAAGGGGAAATCCAGCATCAAAGAATTTAAAATATATCTCCATAACTCACCCATTGCAGACATCATTTCCAATCATGGCATATATGACAATGGCTGGGTGGTCCAACAGTTGGTTCCTAGACAAACTGAAAATCCAAAGATGAAATCTGAGTGCCAGACATTTGTAAACTACTTTGTAACCAGCACCATGAGCTGGTTATATCATCTTTACTACCTTCTTGGTATGTGTTTGTTATTTTCACTATTTTTGGTGGTTATCGATCACCATTTCCATTTTGCCCTTCTTCTCTGCAATCTTTAAACACTGCCCCATTAGAGAAAGACTTGCGAGTGCATAGAATTGAAGAGTGGATTGATGCCCCTGGGAGAGAGATCCTGGCATCTTAGCATCTTTTACAGTATTTGCTATCGGTCAGGACATGTGAGTTACCTGGGTTACTTGGGTCCAGACTTGTAGCACATCCTAACAGACATGGACCAGTGGTCAGGTTTGAAAAGGCAAAGGCTACACACTCTATTAACCCAGCATCTCTATTCTGAATTTTAAGCTCAAAGTGAACATTGTTTTCTTTCTCATAAAGCAGAAATTTGATACACTGTCTTTTGCCATTTTTTAGTTACTTATGTGTGACCTGAGTTTTATCTACTTTGTATGCTTTTTATGAGCCTTTTATTAAAGGGCTCATAGCCCATACTCACTGGCCCAAGAAGTGACATTGCAGTATTTGGATAGTGACTAAGAAGCTATTGGTGATTATGGGGTAACTAGAGAGTTTCAATTTATTTTTCAAAACAAGAAAACATAAAAGACAACTTCTGATCTTCACTTTCCAAACCCTTACCTTTCTATAAGTGTCTTCATGTTCTGGGAAGATGCACCTGAATAATTAAAATTAAGAAAATAATTAAAGTTATTGAGTTAAATGCAACGCTATCAACATGACAGTCTGATCGACTGAAATCTTGAAAGAAGACTTACTGCATAGACATAAATTGTCCAAAACAATAGCTGGAGGACAAGAATTTGCTTCTAGTGGATTTCTGAAGTTTTATCATGCAACTTTCCTTATTATGTTTTCTATTTCCTTGGCATTATATTAGCGTTGGGAGTGTGGTGGCACCATACAATAAGCACTGAATTGTGACCCACAAGATGGACAGTTCAAGGCCACCAGTTGTTTTACAGGAGCAAGATGAGGCTTTCTGTTCCCACAAAATCCTTGAAAACCCTATACAGGGTCGCTATGAGATGGAGCAGACTCGATGGCACTTAACAACAACATGTTAACATTAGGGGCCCCTGTTAGCTCTGCGGAATAAGCACTAGGCTGTTAACCACAAGGCCGGCAGTTCAAACCTACTAATCCTGTCACTGGAGAAGGATGAGACTGCCTGTTCCCATAAAGATGTGCTGTCTTGGCAACCCTATATGTTGTTGTTGTTGTTATGTGCCGTGGAGTCAATTCTGACTCCTGTACAGGGTTTCCGAGGCTGTAAATCTTTACGGGAGCAGAAAGCCTCTTCTTTCTCCCGCGGAACAGCTGGTAGTTTCCAACTGCTGATGTTGCAGTTCGCAGTCCAATTTGTAATCACTATACTACCAGGATGAGACTGCCAGTTCCCATAAAGATGTGCAGTCTTGGAAACCCTATATAGTCGCTGTGAATTGGAATTGGCTTGATGGCAGTTGGTTTGGTATATTAACACGACCAATAAGTCTTTGGGTTCAGGGATCTCAAGACATTTTCTAAACATAAATTACTAAACTTTCTAGTAGATGTGAGAAAAAGGTATCATTGGACTTTGAATCACAAAGTCTGTAGTTCAAACTCCTCATCTGCTCCTCAAAAATCTTATCCTGTATAAGAGGATAAGATTCCAACTATGAGTTGGAACCAATTTGATGACAATAACAAGATTTATCACCAAAGAGAGAAACTTTTACTCAAAAGGCAAGGAAATTAGTTGAAAGGTTTAGAGAAGCAAATAAAAGGGATCTTCTGAACACTCCCAGTCTTCCTACCTCCCAACTTGATTTGGACTCATGTGTGTCAGAGTAGAACTGTGTTCCATAGAGTTTTCAGAAGTAGATTGCCAAGCCCTTTCTGCTGAACAGTAAGCAGTTGAGTGGTTTGATAGTTTGTACCAACCAGGGATCCCAGTCTCCTTAGAGAGCCTCATCTAATTTCCCCTGGTATTCTTGCTCATTTCTTGGGCTCCTTCACTCCCACCGTACCCCAGCCTGGCTGGTCAGTGCAAGGTTGAAATTGTAAGTTTGATCTATTTCCTGTAATGATATGCATCACAATATTTCCCCAACCTCTGTTACTATCTCCAATGTATCCACATTATGAAAATCATATTTATTAAATACATATTTTATGGTAGGTACTCACTCTGTTAAACTGCTCCTTGACTTGATGCTACTTAACAACAACACAGTGCTTACTTCACACAATTTTGGTAAGGCTTAAATAAGTTAATAATATGTGTTTAACAGAGTTGTTGTTGTTGTTAAGTGACTCATAGCGACCCTGTAAAAGGTTTCCAAGGAGCAGCTGGTGAGTTTGAACCACTGACCTTGTGGTTCAAACCGACCTTGCAGTTGAGTGCTTATCCTACAGTGCCACACCAGGACTCAGAGTGTTCTTATTGAATAGGTGAAGAAACAGGCTCACTTAAATAATTTGCCCAAAGCCACATAAGTCATGATTTGGAGAGCTGCCATTCAAATCAAATCCACTTCCTTCCATCTGCAATGCTGAGCTCTGCTAAGCTGAGCTTCTAGGAAGAGTGCACCCAAATAGCATTACTGCTTTTCTGTCCCTTGGAAGCTGGTGATAAAAAGTGAGTAATCCTCAGGTGGGTGGGACAGCTCAGGGGACTAGAGCTGGAGAAACAGAATCTAGTTGTCTCTTTCCATAGGAAGATTTGCCTGTAACTTCAGCCTTGGAAATTTGGTAGGGTGGTGGGGGTGGGGAGAGGAGGGAGTAGGTGCATTTTACAGCAGAGCCAATAAGTATTACCACGCCATATTAGAAAGGGGCAGTGCACAGCTGCGAAGGACATGCTGACCCATGGTTTCTGGAAACTGTGACCACATAGTGACTGCTTTCATGGCATATGTAACTAGTCACAAGCTGTAAAGCAGCCCTGAGGTTCTCTTGCCTAGTTCATGAGTGTTAGCACACCCGTGAATATTGCTTTATTTCTTTTTCTTATTAAAAATGCACACACAAATACAAATTAAGACCAGTCCGTCTGTCCATGTCACAAAGCATTCCGTTCATTTGTTGAACACTTATATGTATCTGACAAATGTTGTTGTTGTTAAGTGTTGAGTTGGTTTGGACTCATTTGTTGTTGTTGTCAGGTGCCATCCAGTCGGAAATGACTCATAGTGACCCCATGCACAGCAGAATGAAACAATGTC